AGCGCCGCGCGATCATACATTTCCTGGACCCGAGCCAGCTCCTCCTGAGCCTTACGCGATTCCTCGCGCGACTTGGTCGCCAACATCTGCTGCTTCTCCGCCTCTAGCTCGAGCCGGTCCTTGTCCGCCTCCAGCACGTCGATGCGGTTCTGCAGGCGGTACACCTCGCTCTGCGACCTGTCACATCACCGTCAGATATTTAGTCCCTGTTTTCTTTATTATAATTTGCCTACATAAACATTTTACAAAAACTCCGTCAGTGGTGCTTAAAGTTAAAATTATTTCAAGCATCTTTATTCTTTGTACTGTAATATTATTATAAGTCAAGTGTTAAGTCATGTCACGTTAATATATTCAAAGAATCTTTCCAATTTAAACGTTTGCTCGGCATTACCGATCATATTTCTCCAGCATCTTTTCAAATTCCTTGGCGGTGTTCTCTCGCTCCTCGTGAGCCTTATTCATGGAATACTGCGCCTTCTCCAATTTCTCCTTTAGAATTTGGATTTCAGTCAATGCGTCGTCTCGCTCCATCTGTTCCATCGCAATTTCGAAAAATCATGAAAAAAAAAAAATTTTAATTTTCTTCTAATATAATTTTTTCTCAGAATAACATCAATGTCGGCAGATAAAATAGAATATACTCTATTATGTCAAGATTATTTTGAAATAGCTTATAACAAATATAATTCATTACTATGCTGCTAAGAAGATAATTTAACTCACCGTTAATTTCTGATGAGTATTGTGCATCTTCTCCCATCTCTCCTTCACCAAATCGAGTTCTGAGAGTACATTCTCCTTCTCGCGTTGCATCTTAGCTATCTGATTTTGTTGGAATTCTATCCTCTCGTGCATCTTCTCCATCTCCTCTTGGAAACTATCTCGTTCCTTTTGTAGTCGCTGCATTATGACCTAATGAACAATCATGACACGAGTCGAATCATTATAAAACTTAAATCTCACAATCATTTACTTTTGCCTAATTGTGCTTACCTGAGCTTTCTCGTATTTGTCCTGCAGTCGATCCACATCAAGTTGAATCGCCTCGCGTTCTTTCTGCATTCTCGCTGACTGTCCTAACGCTTTGTCAAGCTGGCTCTGCAGATTGTCGAAGTCGTAGATCTGTTTTTCTCTCTCCATTTGCATCTACAACAATTATTGTGTATCGTATGTTAAACTTTAACAAATATCAGTGAATATATAATATATGCCTAAATTAATAAGAGTAGTAATAGCTTATAAAAAGGATTAAAATTGATGTCATTTATTTCACAACTCATTTATATACGTTAAGCAATTCAGGACATAAAATATACACGTTTTACAGATAATAAAGGTACTTATAACGATAAGTCTGTTCACACGATACTTGTGATTTTTTTCGAAATTACTCACTCTACGAACTTCCGTCTGTGACTTATCGAGCTTCTCCTGTAGCTTGTCAACCTCGCTCTGTGTCTTGTCCAATAAATTCTGCAGCTTGTCTTGCTGAAGTTGCGCCTTGCCGAGAGTGGCCTGTGTGCGCTCGAGTTCCTCTTGCGATTTTTCGAGCTCGCCAACCGCCTTATCCCTCTCGGAATGAAGACGGGCCACGGACGCCTGTGCGCGGTCATACTCTTCCCGCAGACTCTCCTGTTCGCCTTGAGCATTCTCTAGCCTGGCCTTAAGCCTGTACACCTCGCCCTGACTCTTCTCCACCTTAGAAAAAAAATATTTTGCTGATGCCTTGTAAATTCAATCGATTTAATTTCAGACTATAAATTTGAACGAATTTCTGCAGTCAATCGAACATACTGCAATGACAATTCCTCTTTATATTATGAATTCTGCTATTTCTTTAAGAATCCTTAAAAATATCACAGGTGCGATAAAAATCACACGAGTGAGAAATGCATTTTTATGATGCAATACTGAATTATAGCACATTGTGGAAATAATGAAAGTTTATGCATACTTCCAACATTGTTGAGAAATGCTTTCTTCACGCGTACGCTTTACAGAGTAAACTCCTCAATTATGGAGAAATTACTAAAACGAGATCGAATAACATTAACGCGACTTTCCGCGCTAGAAAGATTTATTCGTTCCCATTTTCGGTCCTTTATTTTCTGTCGTTAACTTGTCTCCGCGCGGAACGAGCTCAAACGATAAGCTGGGTAAATGCGAACTTAAGAACACCGTTTAGCCATGTTCCTTCAAAAACGAGCGATATGGTAATGCACGCGAGTAATTTTCCAGTCACTTAGGTGGCGGGATCGTTACTTTGCTGCCGGGTGCAGACGCCGGGTGCAGGACGAAGGCGTGATTGGAAATTGGATCCTATTGCGCGGGCAAAGATGTAGGCAGCACAGCGGGAGAGCAGGGACGAGAGGCTGAAGGAGTAAAAGGTCCAGGAGAAACGGAACAAGGACGAGGAGGAACCTTCCAGGTGGATGCTAAGAACGCGTTTGAATCGATCGCGATTAAAACTGATTGTCCTCGAAGATACGCGACCGACTCGAGCACGATCCTCGAAAAGTGCTTGCCCAAATGGAACTGTCGAGTCGCGGTCCGAAAGGGACCTTCGTCCATTAATAAATCGCCGAGTGTGGCGACGTGTCTACACGGGTCGTATACTCCAGCGAAGTAGTCCAGGTTACTTCTGTGCCGATCAATCGATAGCACTGTAATTGATGTATAAATAACGCTCCCGCTAGAAAGACACATCGAAGAAGACGAGATATTTTAAGTTATCGCGAGATCGAAATGTTCCAAATCGGAGCTACATCCTTTTCATGATTTAGGACACGGGCAATACTTTCACAGTTCCTTAAATAACGATTCTGAAATGTAATATACCAATCTGCTAACGCACAGATGAACAATGTTAAAATGTAGTAAAAAAAACTTTAGTCGAAATTCCATAGTTGGAATACATTTAACAAACTGTGGCGAATCAAACTCGACAGTGTTCGCGAGTAAAAAAAACCGCAGAGAATTTTTAAAATAAATTTATTAGTAATGACACACATTTCGCATATTTATTGTAATTCAGTATTAAAGTTCGCGTGTATGGTGTCGCAAATGCACGATAAAAGAATAAGGAAGATTTACCTTTTCTTGGAGGGTCGCAGCCTCGGCACGTGCCCTCTCATTGTCCGCTTGCGTGACCCTCAGCTCGGCTTGGGCTCTCCTTAATTCAGCGGCGGTTTTGTCGGCTCGTTCCTGAACGCGCTCCATCTCCTGGGATGAGTTCAGTGTGCTTCTGCCGTAGCCCTGCGACCGCTCGATGTCATGCCGCAGCCTTTCGTTCTCCAGTTCCAACCTGGCCAGCCGCTGCTTCGCGGCCTCCCAGTCCGCACCACTACGTCCGACCTCGGAGGCGGCCTTGTCCAGCTCAGCTTTGCTCTTACCGAGCTCGGATTGTGAGCTCTCGAGCTTCGCCTCGAGCCGGTCCTTCTCCGCCTGCGCTCGCTCCAAACGTGCGCCCAATTTCTCGACCTATCGATTCGTATGCATAAAAGGAAAAGATTTAAAAGCGTTCTTTTACTTTGTTATCTTTTACAATTAAATTTAATGTGTGACAGATATAAAAATAATTGCACATATATTGTAAATTACTATAAATTTAATCAAAATAAATAATTTAAAAAATGTCTCAAAAAATTAGAATTTTGTTGCACTTGTTTTAGATATTTTCGTTAAATGTATGCACATTTATTCGTCCATTACAGTGTCTTATTATTTAGTCCACCTTCAAAAGACGCTTAACAAATAAAAAAATTAGTTACTCATTTTATGTTAATGGCATGGTGGATCGGGGATGAGGAATTAAAGAAGAAACTTTTTTCGCCTAGCCTCGCTCACCTCTGACTCCAAAGTATGTATCTTCATTTTGTATTCAGCGATCTCCCTCTCGTGCAATTCCCTTTCCTCTTGCTTCTCCTGTTCGGCTCGGTCCCTTTGCTCGCGTAATTGTGCCATTTGCTTCTCTTTATCCCCGATCGCCTCCTCGAGACTGCTAAGTGCGCCTTCGCTGCTGCAATGATGCGCCTGCATCGCCGTCAGCCTGGCCCTGGCCATATCGACTTGATTGTCTTTTTCCTTCAGCAGATCCTCCAGATTCTCGATCTGAAGTCAACAGCAGACTCAGCCGTAAGTTCAGAAGGCGAACATTAACTTATTCATCAATTGATTTGTTAGTACAGAGAAACAAGCAAGATGGTTTACTTTATCCCAGGAGATCTCTTTTTCTCCCTATAGTTCAATCTTGAAATCGATATAACTACAAAATCAACTTTTGATGTTACGGAAAATTTTACTACATATTAAACGTCGCGTTAAATGTTAGTGTAGTTTACTGAATTATTACATATTTTGTAAAAAGCTGTAGGGAGAGAGGAGGGCACGGAAAGATAAATTAGTACATATCGAGATTACGCTACATTTAGGAAATTAAACTCAGAACGATCTTCACGCGATCTTCACGAGAATTATAAATTCGGCCTGTTCGCGGTCAGACTGCATGCTAATGTAGTCCCACGAGATATCGATATGGGATTGTTGATTAACGTAAATTCACGTGATCACCTACCTGCCAACGCACTTTCGTCGGTCTTCTTTTACTCACATAATCATACTCAGACATCATCGTCACGACAGGCACGCTAATGTAAAAATAAATACGGTGCTTGTGTCAAAGCAAATAATAGATTATATAAATAGCATAACATAACGTAACGTAAATATGACGCTCAATAATGGCACGGGTAATATTCATATAAATTAAATGTTCAAATTACATATAGAAATTAACATAAATTATGTATACAGAAATATAAACAGCGAAATGTATTACGTATAAATTAGACGATTGCATATAACAATAAGATAATCCACTTACAATTATCTATTAAGCAAATAGTAGTGGAATTAAAAATAAAGAGGAATGGGGGTATTTCATATTTTACAAATTAACATAATCTTTTGTACATAATATAAACATAATCAACGCAAAATAATAGAGCAATTAACAACATTAACTTTGTATTCACATAGGAATACAAGCGCACTTACCAATTACAGAAATAAATAATAGACGAAAATAACACAAAATACAAAGCAGCAGGATAAATTTACCTTCTTATTTCTTTATGGAGCTTATCCTGCAGTCGATTGCGGGAGGAAAGGCTCTACGTGTGAGAATCGAATGTGTGATCGTAGTGCAACGACGACGAAAAATAAGGCAGAGACATAATATAATCCTGCAAACGACACTTTATCGCCCGCATAACGTAAAGTAAAGAGAGATGTGAATTAACAGGAACGAAATGTGTAACGGAAAACGTTGCGGGCGCAAACACAGTGTAACTCAATGTAACGTCTTCGCAAACTGCATTTATGTCCGCAACTACTGTACATCGACTACTGGCAAACGTAAAAACATTGCAAGAAACGTCATACACAGGCGAGTGTGCGCGCACACACACATACACACACACACGCACACATCGTATGTCGTTCTAATCGACGGCCGAACCACTGACACTCATGCGCATTCTCCCTTTCCCGTGTTGTAACATCACGGAGGATGCCACCGATACGTCGAGCGCGTCGGTCGCTCTTTTTCAGCCGCTGCGACAATTAGTGTATCGGTACTTTGTGTGAGTACACGATGCGCGCCTCTAATCCTAGATGATCTCGCATCCGAGAGGAAAGGGAAGACCTTTGTCGTATTCACGAAGCTGATGAAGCGATAATCAAAGGCGAAGACACCGTCAAAGCACGCTCAAAACCACCGTCACGAACAAAGAGCCGGGAGATAACTGTAGCGCATTTTTATCACCATGTTTTATCGTTGGTGCTGTTTTTATAGGAGATTCTTACAAAAATTACAAATCTCGAAAATGACTCGAACTGCAAAATTATAACATATGGCTCCATATGTTTCACGCGCGCGATATACGATTCCTTTTCACTTTATATGTTATATCTATTTACGCGGATTGTTTCCGATCAAATGTAATCGCAAGTACATTCCGTCTAAATCAACACTCCGGTGTCGGGGGAAGCATGAAAAATGTATTCCATGACGGGACAATCGGAATTCTCGTCTTAGGATTACGGCCGTCACACACGTGCGATCGATACCGATATAGTTTTACGTTTCGCAGTGTCAGCACGTACGTCACCCCTCGCGGGATCAGCTCCCGGAATTCCCTCAAAGAGCCGATTGCAATTCACGAGGCGATTGATTGAATTTCGTACACGTACTCATGCGCATTCCATTCTTCCGCTGTGTGGAAGACTGTGTGTGGGACGCGGGGTATACACATATTATTAAACCCTCCTGCTGATTCGACCCTTTCACCCCACATCATTATCATACATTAAAATAGATATCGCTCTGTCAATAAAAAGTTTATTATATTTACATATCATTCAACTGTGTATTGTTTCATTCTTTTTACTTTCTCAATATGTAAGTTTCGTACACGAGTTGGGGTAAAAGAATTAATCAACGATTGCGATCATATTTATGTGTCACT